TTATTAGTTTTTCGTAATAATACGTAATTATTTATGCATTTTTCATATAATTTTTTGATATAAGCATTACCTATAGTCCCTAATGAAAATTTTTATTTGCGTAATTTCTAATTATCGATTTCTATAGTGAGTTTGAAATATTCTTTCGAGTAATTTAGTTATAACTTAATATTTTATGTATATTACCAAAACATTACCAATAGTTTTATAATGAGTCCAAAATATTTTTTCGCGCAACTAGTTATATAAAATAAAGTATTTCATTTATTTATCACATTTTACTGCATATTGCAAAAAAAAAAGATAAAGAATAAATTAACTTTCATTACCTTAATTACTATTTATACTTTATTAAACTTTGTTTATTCTTATCAGATCGTTAATTTACTACAATCAAATAATTAAATTGATATTATTATATTATTTCAGTTTAATAATTTTCATTTAACAATCGATTAAATTTATATTGTTAAAATTGTTATATATATCGATAAATTCAATCGAAATTAAATATAATTAGTATTTTGAAACTTTTAATATGATACACAAATCAAAAAGAAATTTTGTACAATTGAAAGAAGTTTTTGAAGAAAATATATCCAAAATATCAAAAACTTCTAAATCATTTACCAAAAAACATGTGACATGTGATTGTAAATCATATAAAGGTCATAAAGTTAATTCACGTACAAAAAAATCACATATGAAGAAAGAAAGAAAGTTTGGAATGAGAGATGTTATTGAATTTTCTGATGTACGAATCGAAGAAAGTACAAGCTAAAGCCATATTCCTATAGAAGATTCTATAGAAGATTTCATAAAGGTGAACGAAATAGAATTAGATGATAATAGTAATGGTGATGAAGCAGATAATATACAAGAATTCAATTTTCTTGTTAAACCAAAATCTAAAGAAAAAGAGGCAATGTAAAATCAGTTATCTGATAGTTATAATTGAGCAGATTTTATCTAAAAGTGAAGAAGAATCTGATGAATTTGATATTGACGAAAATATATATTTTAGCGAAGACAAAGCAGAGGAAGAAGGCGAACTATTAACTTCGATGCCTTAGAATCAGTTTATAGTGACGAATATCCTGATATATCAACTGCAAATATTAATCAAAGTTTTATATGGATCGTATATTAGATTCTCAAATATTAAGAGAGGTATCGGTTATCGGATACGGCTACTAATGCCCTTATAAAATTTATAAGATCTTTGTTAATATTAAATAATGAAAATACATATTCATATTTTCCAACATCTCTATATATGACACGTAAATTATTTAGCACCAGTAATCAAATAGTCAAGTATGCAGCTTGTAAAAAATGTTGCAAGTTATACTTTGTTAAGGATTTACCAACCGATAAGCTATATCATTGTACTTTCAAGATTTATCTAATCATCCAATAAGCAATTCAAGAACTACTTGTAATGAAGGTATTACAAAGGAAGTATCTACTAATAATGGAATTTTGTATCAACCATTTCGTATTTTTCCAATTATTGACATTAAACGTCAGTTACATAGATTATATAATAAAAAAGGTTTTGAAGAATTATGTAGAAAGTGAACAGTACGACGTAATGGTCAAGAGTTAACAGATATATATGATAGGAGAATTTGAAAAACATTTAAAGATCCAAGTAATAATTCATTGTTTTTTCGACATAAAGTTACAGATAGTAATATCGGAATTATGTTGAATCTTGATTAGTTTCAATCTTTCGATAATTCATGATATAGTGTAGAAGTCATGTATGGAATAATATGCAACCTTCCACAAAGTGAAAGGTTCAAGACTTCTAATGTAATCACTTTGGCTATATTTCCTGATCCTAAAGAGCTAAGGCTATATCTCTTTAATTATTACTTGGCATCTATAATCGATCAGTTGATTAAATTATAGAAAGGAATCGAATTACCTAGTACTTATGAAAGCCCTACAAATAAAAATGTACAAGTGGCAGTTATATGTTATGCATGTGACATACCTGCGGCTAGAAAGCTTTGCAGGTATATATCAGCTAAAATTGCATATTATAGGTGCAAAAAGAGTGCCAATATAGAAAGTAAATATCAAACAAATTTTGGCAGATTTGATGATATAGAAGAATGATTTGTGTAAAGAGATGTCAAAGAATTAAGAGATAATGCTAATTCATGAAAGGATTGCAAAATGGAGGATCAATGCCAGAAGTATATATCAGAAATATTGGTGAGATGGTCTGAGATATATCACTTACAATACTTCAATTCTATTGTCAGCGTTAAAAATTTGCCATAGAAAAATGATTTACAAAATCATTAGATTTAATTTATGTAGATCATATTAAGGAAGATTTTGATCGACATATTGCAATTAGAAAATCAGGCTAATTTATTTAATTTGAAGGATTTGCAAAATTCACCTGATTCGCCTATTTCTTCTGTATTTCCTGTACAGTCCGTTTATTCTGTTTATTCTATTTCATCTATAATTTCTTTAACGTCTGTAATTTATTTTATTTCTTTTTATTATTTTTATAATTAACATTATATTTATTATTTTATTATATTTAAGTATATTTTTATTGAAGTATGTATCTATAATTAGTTAATTTATAGCGTAGCAAATAGTTAGCTGTAGCAAATTCATTTTGTATAAATAGAATAGCTTTTTGCTTAAGTTGTAAATTAACTCAGTTGTAAGT